GTATGTATGTATGTATGTATGTATGTATGTATGTATGTATGTATGTATGTATGTATGTATGTATGTATATGTATAATTGCAGTGGCACATAGGTTTCTGTTATGTTAGAAGACAGCACCATTGCCCTGAACTGCAAAGAGGTTACCATTATACACACTGCTCTTTGCTTATAAAAAAAAATCCCAACCCTTATCTTACTGGAGGCGTAATCTTTTCCATTTACTTCCTTCATTGCAGGTACACACATTCATTAACAGAAACGTCTTACAACATCCAGGGAAAGACAATCGGTAGATCAACAGATACTATCTCATAACTTAATAGTCCCACTTTTATTGCCCCTGGGCTCTCATCACCATTATCACCAGTAACTCCCCATAAAGTCCCGCAGGATTCTTCTAATCTAACTCGGGAGCCTCGCTTTTCCATTTTAACCTCTATTTCGCTTCCCCCCACCCCCCCCCCCCCCCCCCCGCCAAAAGCCTCTCTCCATTTACTTCTGCGATGCCCTTCTACCAATGATTTCCCCCGCTGAACCAAGAGCAAGGAGCACAGGTGTTCTTGGTCCCTCTCGTCCTTGCCTAAAACCACTCACAAGATGTCCCAGACCCCTTGTTCAATTCCATCCATTTTTCCAGGCGTCACATGCTATTTACACCCCCAAAAATCTCAAAAAAAAAACAAAACCAAAAAAACAACAGCCAGGGTATTCCCCACCCACCCCCGTCTCCCGATTGAGAAATGAGTTGACCTTTTCCTATAGACGCAACGGGAGATCCACCCGCTGAATCTGCTCGCCATCCACCTGGGGAAAAGCCCCCTGCCTAGAAGGAAGCCCGGCCAATAAGAAAAGGGGGCAACCCGGGCTCTGCTCCTCTCTTTTGAATGGGGGGCTGAGCTGACCAACGACTCGCTTTCCTCCCAGGGTTCTTCACCCCGGTTCCTAACCCATAATGTCGTGTTCGTCCCGTGCCCCGCCCCCCCCCCCCACAACCAGCGAGCCCCCGGCTACTTCTGCCTTTGCTCTGCTCACCAGCCGGCCGCGGCCGCTCTCGGTCTCAGCCCTCCCCGGACTCCCAGTTGCCAAATTTCCCGGAGCCAGCGAGTCGCCATGGAGGGCGGGGCAGGGGGGGAAAGAGTAAACCAAGTGGAAATGCCCCTATCTCTCTCTCTTTTTCTCTCGCTCTCTCTCTTTCGACCGTATCAATTCCGCCAGCAAATAAGACAGGCACCGGCGTGAACTTTCACCCCACCTTCCCCCGTCCGCGTCACAATGTCATTGCGTCGCCCTGGCTATGTCACAGCGCGGGAGGGGGGGGAAGGGCTGGAGAGGAAGCGAGCGCAAGGCTTTGTGGGAGATGTGGTTCTAAAGGTTATCCGCCCGCATGAATTATGGGAATTGCGGCTTCTCTTCCTTTTGAGGGCAGCCGGCTTCCAATCGTGGGCTGTTTACGATGATCGTTGACTTATTTTAGAATAGAGTAGAGTAGAGTAGAGTAGAGTAGAGTAGGAGTAGGAGTAGGAGTAGGAGTAGGAGTAGGAGTAGGAGTAGGATAGAATAGGAGTAGGAGTAGAATAGA